CGTCTAACTTTCTGCGTTATGTAGCACAAAACGTAATTCGTGTTCGGAGCTTGCACTGGACACATTGCACTGGTTGAGGCCCATTGAAGCCCGCTGGTTCCTGGAATCGCGCTGACGTACGTCAGACACGAATAACCGATGATCACATTTTTCTTCGCCTTGAGCACCACATGGTTAAAGAGGCGTCAGCATTCGCATGACGTTTTTATGGCGTCATGCATGCCTGGGTGAGCTTGACATGATATGCACGACGTCGTCTGCACTAGTTTGTGGGCGTTAAGCTTATAAGCCAGACGATTTTGAGTCTTGAAAAGCGCAGGGCTATGAACTACTTTGAATGGTCTTCAAAATAGTTATCTCAGCTCAAAACCTCATACCAATGTGGAACACTCTCTTTAACCCTCGCTTTTAACCCTAAATTGGCGCCCAAAAGTGTCAATTGCTACATTTCTGCAATTAACGCCACCCTTTCTTGTAAAAATGTGTCTCGAAGCCTTCTTAGATAAACGCATACCCCTGTGCTCTGATCCCACCCGGGGCCAAAGTGTCTTGCAACCTTGCTTGATGGAGGTACTATCAGCTATGCCACGGCTCACGGCGCTGCCTATTGACGCTTTTCCGTCATGTGCGAAATGACACTTGGAGATGGCGCCCACCTTCTTGAAACGGAAAGCTAAATCCAACAGCAACACGAACTGTTGATTAACCGGTAAAAGGCTTTTAGGCCGTGCGACGAGCGAATCGACAACAGATGAGCAAAAAAAAAATAATGGTGCCCAACGCTAAAATAATGGAACCCGATGTCCTTAGAGCCCATCATAGTGGGCGCTCCCGATGTATCGAATTCCCCCCCTTCCTGAGTTTCCGTAAATAGATTCTATGCTGTATCGGTCGCGCGTCAATTCGCCATTCCTACTGCTTGAAAAATGGCTGACCATGGCACGTTAAGGCACATGGCGCGTTTAGAAGTGTCCGACATCGTAATAGCCAGTAATCGCTTCTGGTGCCCTTACGGGCCATACGGTGGTTTGTTCGATGTTCGCAATGCTAGTTTAGCGTGTGAGCGTTCGTGCCTGTTTTGGTGTTTTCTGTGCCGTGACATCTGTCCTTCTTCCTTTGACATCGTCGGTTACGGTGTTTTTATAAGCTATTCAGTTATCACCAACCTCCCTGGACCTCTCCATCACTCCATTCCAGGTGCCGCGCGGCTCCACACTGGTGACACCGACGTCAGAGCGTTGAACTAAACAGCCTCCGCGTATGTGGCTGTGCGTGGACCGGCGCGCGGAGTCATGCAGCGATTGTCAGTGGTCGTCTGCACCCCCGCGAAGAGAGCGTTGAGTGCTTGGCCTCGTGGAGTGGGCCTTGAGTGCAGTGATTCGCGCAGTGAGTGATACTGGATCTGCCATGCCCGATAGGAAGTATTCCGAGCACCAGTCTTCTGGCATATTTCGCTTATCCTCTTTCTCGCCGGAGGAGGCCGACTTATGGATGGTACAGGTGGATTGTGGGTTCTGCGTGGCAGGAATGACAGACAACATCGACAAGTTTACACTTGTCGCAGCGAATCTGCCAGTGCACGTGGCGTCTCATGTGCGTGATGTCATCACGGATACTGCTCCTCGTAAACCTGTTGAATGCGCTCCGTTCCCGGCTAGCGCAGGCACGGGTCACTCGCCTAGACGCCCTGCAATGAGGCCCGCCAATGATCTTCCACGCTGAAGCAGACGCCAAACTACGCCGCAGTGCGCGCGGTGCGCATGACACACCATGTCACACACGCATAGATGAACGGCGTGAGGCACCAGCTGGGCAAAATGGCACGGCAAGGCATTGGGTGGGGGCCATATGACTGGTGCAATCCGCTCATCCTAGTGGAGAGCCTGATTACTGGGATCAGGATAAGCGCCGACACCAACAAACAAGTTTATGAAGAAGCCGTTGCACCCACATCCTACACGAAGAGAAGCAGTCCCGAACATTCTAGTGAGCTCAACTTGAGACGCATAAAAACCGTTTTCAAATGGTCATCAAATGTAGCCAGCTCGGGATCATTCTCAATACAAATAAGTCTGGTTGTGCGAAAAATGAGGTCTCCTACGACTTAACCCTGTCTTGAGCTGGAAAAGAAGTCCCCGCAAGCAAAGCCACGGCCATCGCCGAGTTTCGAACACCCAAAAAGGGCCACCTCGGAGCTGGAATACACATGTAACGTCAACTCTACGATGCGGCTCTATCGACGAGACGTTCTTCCGTGGACTTTTGAGCTACGTAACACACCTCGAACACGCCTACAAGCAGCTCCAATGTCAGACCCTCAAGCCTGAGCGCCTCTACGATTCGGTTTCAGCTGACATTGCCATCGACTCCTAGACAAGGCACTTGTCAGCGACGGCATTGAACCGGCAGGGCCACGACCAGGTCTAGGGGGATTTCCTAACCGTCCCGCGAAAAAGGGAGGTGCTGTGAGACCACCCGACTGACCTGATGGCACAGCCTACCCGGTGACCGTTGGCCGCGTGGCCGACGGCGGCGTGACCAGGGAGCGGGCTACTGCCGCGAACCCCGCTGCTCGCCGCCGCAGACGCTTACCGCCGTCCAGAGTCCAGCCCCGGCCTGGCAAATGATTGGTTGCCACCCATTGGATACTACGCCTACCAGTAATTGGTGATTAGACGCTGCACCCCCGTGTATGTAACTGTGTGCGTAGACTTGGAGAGTGATATACATGCGTCTGGAGACTGCCGGCAATGCACCTATGTGCGATATACACATCTCTCAGTAGACCGGCCGGACGACGAGTCAACACCTCTGATTAATCTTGAAGCTTTGCATGACGCCTGAGGCGTTTATTGGGAAGTTGAAAAATATTCCCTCTCACGCAGTACTAATCCTGTCATCAGCCAGCGGTGCAATTGCATTCAGACAGCGCGAGTGGTACTCTCTTGAATTCCACTGCCTTTGCTCACCTCTAGTCGTAAGGACCTTTGACCAGACAACACATGCGCTGCAGATTTGCATTTCAAGCCTGCGACACTACTGGAGCTGTTACGCACTGTCCAGTGCATGACTGCCTCGCGTACGGTGCGGATGGATGAGGCACCACCTGTGGTTGTGTGTCACTGATTCTCTGCAATTGGGCCGCACCTGTTGCGCCGAACAAAGTTGTCCATCACGATCGACATGTCCCGACGAATAGAAGAGAGCTTGCGCCATATCGATCCCTAAATGTGGTGACCAAGCCGAGTCGCCCAAAAGGAGGTCCTGCACCATACCTCTTTTCAGTGTACTAAAATTCTGAAAAAGGTCGCTTGGAGCCCAGTGACAAGCTACCACCCAATCACCTTACTGAGCCCATCTCAATCTGCACACAGGTCATGCCAATCCACTGATGATCCCATGCTCGACGCTATCACACACCTTATGTCTTACAGTGACAATGAATTAATATCATTGGTAAATGCCATAAATCCCTTGAAGGCATTCAACACTGTCGCCCATGATATCCTCTACCTAAAGCTTCTTAGTATGCTACAACCCACATTGATTGTTTTAATTTAAGATTTTCCTGGGGAGCCTGAGCAAATTATGTGGGCAGATGGCTCAGACTTCAAATTCTGTGTGGTGTGCCCCAAGGCTTAATCATTGGTCTCACTATCTTCATTTTGCCATTTTATTCACTGAAGACAAATATGGATCTGACCAATGGCTGTCTTTTGTCATACACTGATGACACCAACAACCTTGGCTGAGCAATGAATGACCAGAAAATACTTGTAAAGAATACAAATCAAAACGTTTGTTCCTGAAAACTTTGAGCAGTGGCAATGCAGCAGGCAATCATAGGGCTGACTCTTCTTGGAAAAATATTATAAAAAGATAACCAAAATTCATCTTATCATCCTCTTAAAACAAAATTGGGATATATTCTGGGGAAAGCATCTGCATTCCCTGGACAAACCAGAATTCTGACAAGTTTTGTTTCACATGGTGGCTAACCTGTGATAAAAAGCACAATATGATAGTGGTACATCAATTTTAACATCACAATGATAGTCCCTTCTCTGCAACTTAAGCACCTCAAATGTGGTAGTGTAGCAGACTGACTGTGAGTAGAATCTGAACCAGATAAGAAATCAAGTTTATTTCTTGGAGCAGAAACATGGTGAAAACTCATTGAAAATGGAAAATGTGTAACTGGCATGACACAGAATTTGTGCAAGAGATTACTTGCAATCACAGGATGAAATGCAGCTAAGAGTGAACAAAGACAGCCTCATTCTTGTATGCACAGAAAGCACTCCATATAACATTAATCTTATCAAACAATTGTGCAGAAACATTGCCTTCTGGAATTTGCCAAGACTTAATTCACCAAACACTAAATTATACAGTAACTGGGTAGTTGGGATCAGCAAACATAACCATACAAAGCATTCCATAAAGAGCAACATGATGTTACTGTGTGTGCTGTTGGGGCTTTACAACATACTCAGCTGCTGAGGCTATATGGTGTCACCTGCCACTCATTCTAGCAGGAAGGGTGGGCACCACCGGGAATTAAACCCATATCTCTGGTTTCCCAGATGTGCAGTGGTTAACGCAGACACCACAACCACCACACTACCTGTATCCCACTATGTTACTACCTATTATGATCTGTCATATAAATGCCCACATGCTGTACAGAACACTTCATTCAAAAATATACAAAACAAAAAAGCATAGCTTGATTCACACTGTCCTGTGGTGCATGCCACATGCAAAACTGAATGAGAAACACAAACACCCAGTGCTGCTGGAAATGAGAACAGGTCATATGGTTTCCCCATGATAGGTGCACAAAACAAAGCTATGTTTGCCATGGATGCATTCCAGTGCCTACAGCAACATAATGCCAGTGCATGAGGTTCTTAATATACAAGCACCCGGTCATAGGATGACATAACTGACAACAAAGAGGATGTAGCACAACAATGAAAGCCCGGAGACTTACGTACCGTCCTCTTAAAGATGTTGACTCCCCTTCTCAAGAAAACGCAGATAGACCAAATTCAATTGGTCAAGTTCAGTAGCATGCCGATCTTAATTCTAACAGGAACATAGCTTAAGTTGGTATCAGACGGGCGATCCCACAAAGCAGTGTCACCTGCTCACGAGCACTGTTGTGCCCATTCCATGGCAATATAGATTTGCCAAAATTGCTAAAGTACACTAAATGTCTTCCTTGCGCCAAAAATGTGTGAGCTGTTCGGAATGCCGCTACGGAGTTCACATCGTTCAAGGACGTAAGTTGGAAGGGGATTGGCATTTATGGACTCGAACATTTCAAAAAATTCTCATTGGCTCTGCGCGTTTGCAGAAATGGAGCGACGAACCTACATTGCTGGTATGTTGACCATCATAAGTGTAATGCTGCCAAGAATGGGGTCTATGTTTGCACCTATACCTAACTAGCTTTATATACGGTATCGCTCATCTCTCCATCTTTGGTCGCGTACCCTAGATCGAAGAAGAAAATGGACTTGAATTAACTGACAGGAATAACCGCAAAGTCTAGGAAACCAGAAAATTTAATTCCCGACACTTCAAAGCCAATTGAGAGGGAGTATGTACGCATTTGTTCCGGCAGATATGAAAATTTCATTGCGGGCAGAAATGGGCCTACAGACCTACCCGCATAGAGCAGCTTTTTACCCGGGCTCCCAAAACGTACTGTTGTACACACAGGATTGATGCGCAAAGTAAATGCGTGTGTTGAACATGGAAAAGACATGGGTGGTAGACCTGGGTCCTGTAGACAATACGAAAAAGTTACGGGACAGGAACGAGTCAGGGCTTCTAAAAAAAATAAACAACGCAAGTTGGTTTTGACCAACACCTTCGGCTCCTGGGGCGTTCGCCACCTCCAGGGTAAGGGGTGGCATGCAAACAGGGACGCGGTAACCGGGGGGGGGGGGCAATGGGGGCAGCTCCCAACTTGAAAGCTGGGGGGGGTACACGCAAAATTCCACTTTGGCCTGTCGATGGCTACTTGGGGTCCCTTTTGACCAAAAGAGAGTAATTCTGAGCGTGAAAAGGCATTACTTTGGGCTGTAGAGTCCCACTCTGATTTGAAGACGGCCCATAATTGACTGTGGCGGACCAAGTCTGGGCTGTAGAGGGACCATTTTGGCCCTGAGAGTGGTCATTCTGGCCTGTAGATAGCCCGTTATGACGTGCAGACCCATTATGATCTGTAGAAGGCTCAGGAGCGGATTCAGAGGGGTGGCCACTTGGCCACAACCCCCCCCCCCCCTTGGGCCCCGAATGGGTCACATAGTCGACCGAACAGATGCAGCGTTTTTAAACGCAAAACGTAACCAAATTGGACATTTTGGATTTCCAGGCCAACAAGAAAAGTTGCAGGCGAAAGTGGCGGGCCAACGAGAAAAGAGAGAAAAAATCGTCAATGGTTGAAAAGGCTGTTAAATGAAAATTGCAGGCCTCATTACACTGTGTAGGGCATGGGTGTCGATTTCTGAAAATGTTTCGGGGGGCCAGATTCACGGAAGTCGTCATAGAGGGACAGGGCAAAATAATTATTGAATTTCTTACCTAATGTTCTGGCTTTCATTCATGTACGGATGTATATATATGCTAATGTGTGTGCCTACATACTTCTCTTATATATCCGTACATGAATGAAAGCCAGAACATTAGATAAGAAATTCAATAATTATTTTGCCCTGTCCCTCTATGACGACTTCCGTGAATCTGGCCCCCCGAAACATTTTCAGAAATCGACACCCATGCCCTAGACAGTGTCATGAGGCCTGCAATTTTCATTTAACAACCTTTTCAACCATTGATGATTTTTTCTTAGCTTTCTGGGGTCCCGTCCCTGTCTCCGACCGACGACTTATAACTAATCACGCTTTGTTTCCAGGTTTCCGATAAGAGGTCGTAGCAAAACAACGCAACTTGCTGCGATTTGTATAACTTAAACATCGCTGAATAATGCCAAAACGCTCCCAAAATAGCATGAAACTAGACTACAGTCGGAGCATGCAAGAAAAAAACTCGCGTGATCACGGGACGACCGCGGAGCTTTAAAAGTATGACCAACTCAGTCAGATATGCGAAACTGAACTTGATATCATAGTTTTAAATTGTTTTGGTACGTTTACCTGTGAAACAATCATTAAAGACCATCTTTCATTTTCATATAATTTCAAGCTTCCATTCGTAATGTCCTGCATGAACTTGGGTTCCAGAAGTTTGGGAGGGGCCAAACTCGCCGTTTGAGGGTCAGATTGAGAATTGGGGAGGGGCGGTGCCCATCCAAAATAATACAAATCGACAACCGTGCCCCAACCCAGCCTGCGCCACTGGTACGAAGCAGGGGCTGCGTAGAAGATCATGGAGGAGAAAAATGAAAGCTGTAACCGGGTAAGGAAGCACTTTAAGTGACGTGGATAAATACTAACGATCACGAAGCACCTATTTATCGTTCTTAACTAAATAAGCTAAATGCATAGATAAATCGCCTCCACCAATCTTCACAAACGCTACCGACTCGGGTGGTTCTGCCGCGCCCATATCGAGCGATTATGGGGCTGCTGTTAACTCGCCTACCAGGTGCGTTCCTTCTAGAGCGAACCCCGCGGGAGTCGGCTACCGTCACATCCAATGTGGCGCCGGCGGCACCAGTCTGGAAATGGCCTGTCACGTGTAGGGGCCCACCGCTGCCGCCGCGCGCCGCGGCCGCTGCTGGCGCGGATGATTCCGTCACGCTCACGCCGAACGCCGACGGCAGTGCCACTGCCGTTCCAACAGGCGCTCTCAGGACAAATCCCGCGGGGCAGCCGCCATCATGTCGGATGCCGTGTCGCGTGTGAGGTGTCTGCTGCCGCCGGTGTCCACGGGTCGGGTCGGTGGCCAGGTGCGTTGGGCCGGCGCGGAGTCACTGCAGGGCTTGTGCCGGAAAATGCTCCCGCACTTAGGTGATTTTGCTCTCACTCGTCAAATGTTTCCCACTGACCAGATAAGTATTCCCCAATCACAGCAGTTCTGGCACTGTCTGTGCTTTTCCCCTGGGTGTCTGCACAAAAAGTCGGGTGGAAAAGTCGAACTGCATAGAAAAGGAAGACAAAATTTCGACCGTCGGCGGATGGGCGAACCTTACCTCAACGTTCAAACACAGCAGCATAATTGTGAAGTTGAAAACTTCAATGTATCACATCTTATGTTTTCTGGAAAGACCTTCGTTACTTGCCTGTCGAGACGTCCATACACTTAAAGTGCAAACTAATCTACTGTAATGGTAGCCTTGGTATAAATGAATCTGTTGCACCATTTTTGTCGCAATCCGATCGGGTCGCGGAAAAAAATTATGCGTTTCCGGCGAGGATTCTACGTGACGTCACGCAGAATCTTTGTCGTCTGGTTCGTTGCAAACACCAGACGGTGCATAGTCTATGGGTTATGGCGTTATGAGTGACGTCGACAGCACAGAATCTCCGTCTTCCGGGTTGCTGCGAATACACCCTAGATGTTGGCAAGGTGCTCTTGGCCACAGTAATTGTGCACAATCACGGTACACAAGATGCTTTACGGGAAGGCGGTTCTGCCAGCGAAATTTTGACGGCAGGGAGGTGGGACAGGCTCAGACGAGTGGCAAGGCGGTGACATGTATGGTAAGCCTCGGTAACGAAGGGTCTTATAAACTATGGCGTTGTTTTCGAGTGTGTAATGGTGATTTTGGTTTTCAGAGCACAATTTGCAAAATGAAATACATGACAAGTGCAAAGCAAGTGTTACAGCACTCACCAATTATTCTGAAAAGCTAATAAGTGCGAATAACTTCTCAGACATTGGTTTTGCCAACAACGCCTTTAATTCGGGTTTCCATATTAAAGACCGATGGAATCCCAAAATATTAAAAAGATGTACTAGCTTTTGAGCATTGCCTTCAACCAAGACGTTGTGATTGATAGCACTTCATGATGAAAAAGTTCAAACCACTCACTTGCCTCGCAGACAGCCAACACCCATGCCGGCCACACCTTGCAACATTCATTCGGCACCAAACTGTATTCTCTAGGCAAAACCAATCACAAATGAAACAGGAGAGCATCGCACAACATTGCACATATCTGATTCAGCAACTATTCAATGGTAAGCCTGGTCCCTGTAGCGCGTCGGTGACAGCAGAAAATGTAGCGCATGGCCCCTGTGCCGAAAGTCTGGTCCACTGTGTCCATATGCACCATTCCGTCCATATGCACGACAAACCCCACTGGGGCACAGGCTTCGGCCGGTATAGGGGAGTAGCGACCCCTCGGGTCCCAGCTCCGGTAACGAGTGGACAGCGCAATCTATTCATACCAGGGACTAGCGACCCTGCCGGTACGTGAGCTTGTTCCGCCCTCTCCCTCTGCACCACCCGCATTCCGGTATCCGGCCCTCTCATCACACCTCATCCTCGTTTCATCGGGGTCGCCGTGCCCACTCGCCCGCATCCCCGGGTTAATCGGATCCTGGTGGCTGAGGAGCGCGTCGTACAGGCCAGTCATGGCGCGTCCCAACACTCCACTTTGGCCAGGATATCCGGGGCGCGGGGAGCCTGTAGGACCCCAAACGGGTCTAGCCGCTTGCCGCTCGCGCTGCGGCTGGGTGCTCTGTGCGAGTCTCCACTTGGGGCACCTGGCCGTGCGCAGCAGGTTAAGGGGGTCAAGGGGCGGTGGCACTGAACCACGGTCAGGACGGGGAGGGGTCTACCCGGTTACGCCTGGCCGCATGGTAGACATCGTTCGCCCAAAATAGAACTGGTGACGCCCTGGCGGTGATCACGTTCCGAGGGAGCGTTGGGCCGTCCCACAGTTGCGTTCCGAGGTGGTTGGGGAGCCCTGGTGCCGAAATAAAAACTACCTTTCTTGGCATCTTCTCATTTTAAAAACACCCGTCCTCTAAAAGAGGACGGGTGACGGGGGCCCCATGCCACGATAACCCAAGGGTGCAGACAAGACTCTGTTATCCCCGGACCAGGGATCCTCATCTTCGGAAGTGACGAGTCTAGGTTGGCGTCCCTGCCACCGTTTCAGAGACGAAATGCTGTTTTGATCTGCGCCACGTCGGCGAGGAGATAGTGGGGAAACTGTCGGAGTTTGGTGGGACCGCCGCTCGCAGGATGCTTATCAGAAGGGAAAGAAAGTTAATGCCAACCAACAACCTCATACTCACGTTCAGTCGCTCTGACTTACTGTCCGAGATACGTGTGGGACACGCCCGCGTGAAAGTTCGCCAGTTTGTGCCCAACCCCATACGGTGCTATCAGCGCCAGCGATTTGGTCACATTAAACGCAACTGTCGGAACCGCGCAGCGTGGTAAGTGTGCGTCCCTCGAGCACACGAGCGAAGTCTGCATTTCTGGCAACCCCACTGTGTCAACTGCGGCAAGGATCAGGTTCCACATACGACTAGCAACAGCGCATGCCCAGGCTACGCCGAGGAAAAGGAAATTCTATCGATTAAAACTGCTAAAGACGTCTTTTCGTGACGCGCGAGAACTTTATAACGAAACTCACCCAAAAATATCGCAGGCATCGAAAGTGAAAGCTTTGCTGCCGCACACTGGTGTGATCGAGGAAATGATCGCTGTTCAAATTCTGGGACTTTTGAGGTCATTCGGCTTATCAGTTGTACCCTCAGCACGCGCGCTGGACCCCCAGCCAGCACCCCAAGCCCCCTTTCCACCAGCCGAGCAGTCGGTGGCCGCCGTGCTGCCGGCTTCCCCGGCGCCGGTTGGATTGTCACCGAATGACGGTCAGACGACGGTTCGGCGTGGCCGCAGTCCTCGCGCGCCACCGGGCGCTCCTTCATCTGAGACCTCACCGGTCTCCTCACCTCGCCAGTGCCTGTGAGCGTGTGGCAGAGACGCCAGAGGCCAAGCGAGCGCGTCTGGCTGAGCAAGAATGGGTGAAGGCGATCAACCGCTGCTGGGGGCGGACCAGGGACTCGCTCCCACCGAGAAAGCCGGCCCACCGCCCAGACGACGCGTGAAGGCCCCTGGTGGATCATCCGGGTGCGAAATCACCCCATGGGTCCGCCACCATCTAGGGTTACGGCTTCGCCGTCTAGAGCGGGGCGCGCGGGAAAGCGTGACCCTCCTTGGCCCACCTCGCCGTCCACAGACGGCAGCCCACGTACTCGGCCCAGAACCCGGTCGGCGTCGATGGGCTCGGACCCCGTTGCGTCCGTGAGCCCCGTGGCTGGACTGTCTGGGTCTGTTCCGGTCGGCACAGCCGGGTACTTTTAAAGTGGTCTGTTTTACGCTGTAACCCATACGCATGCCATCCCCCTGTATGCTTCGATACCGCGAAACGGTAGGGAGCTAAGAACCGTTCTCACCTGTTAGCTCCGTGACGAATATTGTACAGTGGATCTGCGTGGGCGCCCGAACAAATTACCAGGATCTAAAAGTATGCGTTAACGAGCGGCGTCCAGCGGTG